CTCGCTCCCTCCATCTGCCGTGGTTATGGCCCGTCGCTGGAGCACAAAAGAGTCTCCGCGGTGGAGGTCTGCGTTGGTCTTGCTTTTCCTCGCCGGAGTGTACGGTAAGTGTCCGCGTCCCTGCGCCCCGCTGACCGAACAAAGCTGGGGCGACCCTGGGCCCCGAGGCCTCCAGGACAGGGGTTCCCCGGGAGAACCGGGGAGAGACCCCACCGCCGACGGGACAAAGACCCGGCGAGGGGTGGATGCCCCGGAGGGGTGTCCACACACGAAGATGCTTTCGTCCGCTCACCACCTCTAGACTCTCGGGGTTGTCGGAGAGGGGTTTGGGCGTCCCGGCCGGAGGGAGTCCCGGTGGAGCGAGGGGGTGGTGGGCGGACTTCCCGACCTGGACTCGAGGGCCCCTTGCACAATCCACGCACACAAAGATGTATGACTGTGAGAAGGAAGAGGAGGTCGCCCTCGCCGCTCTCGGGACGGTCCTGCCACCCCCGACCCTTCCGGGGTCAGGAAGTTCTCTCCCCAGTGAAATTCCCACCGCACCAATTCCCCATTCTCCCCACTCCCTGAAAAAGCAGCCTACCGCTCTCGTCCCACTCCTGCACCTCGGAGGCCGAGGCTCCGCTGATCCCGGGCGTGCTGGATCCTGTCCCTTCTCTGGGAGCAGTACGCGGGAGAAGGCCAGAAAATAGTTTCCAGCCCCACCTCACTCTCTCCCTTAGGGCGTAGATGTCTGCCCCGACTCCTGGTTCATTTGTCATTTCATCCATCATTGGCCGCTAATGTTGTCACTGTTGCTTCATTCCAGTCTGTGGATTGCGTTGCATATACTCACTCCTTTGAGGTTGAGAGAAGGCTGGAGACTGTGTGCGAGGTCTAAGCTTTATGTTACATCAGGGTCTGAACTAGAGCTGAATGGAATTAATTAGAACATTCATTGCTTGAGACTTTGAGTTCCACTTCTGACTTCACCGTTCTTAGTTTATCAGTTGAACGCATTGAAAAGGTGTTTCTGTGAACACGCTTAACATTTACTACTTAGCGTGGTGTTTTGATATCTTCAGAAGGAAATACTGTAAATAGGAGTTGCCATTCCTTGAGAAATTTCACTTATAAGACGTCTAAGTCATTTGCCACGAACACTAATTCCACTAATGGTATGGTGATGGGAGTTCAGTCAGTATGTACTTCGTGAGCAATATTACCGCTTTTGAAGCATTTATCTGTGGAATCGAATGCGATGGTAACTGTTAGAACCTGAGAAATTACTGCAAATGAATTTAATGACCGTAAGTTAACATTTACTAGCAACCAAAATAGTTTTTCAATATGATTCAAAATGTGTTGCTCTCTGCCTGATCTGATTAATATATTATTATACTGTATTATATATATTATACATTATATATAGTGTGCATTTTCGTTTGTTTAGGGCAGGGGAAGGTTTGCATTCGACGTGGTAATTGTGAATGGTATGCCTGTGTGTGATCAGAAAACCCTGTGCGTGACTTTTGAGTATTATTTGCACCGAGTAGCTGTGATTCCCACTTGCATGATGACTTGTGGGTTTGGGTCTACACCAGAGATCAATAAGCTATTATGTTGTTTCTTCTAGCCTGAAGGTGGGTATAGTTCTGCCCTAGGTTTGGTGTAATGGCCCAGAAGAGAGAAGAAAGCAAGAAGGCATCTTTAATCTGGGGTGATTAGAAGTGTCCTGCTTTGTCCTCTGCTATAGTCAGAATTGAATCCTAGAGATGTCTGATCAGAATAGATAAATAAATGAGCTCTTTTAGCTCTTTCATGAAAATCTGTGTCATTAGTGTTTGAACTAAAAGTCTTTTTGCCTCCAGGGATAAGAGGCTGTGAACCTTGTAATTTGTCTTGGTACATTCTTTTGTACTTGTACACAAAACGACTTTCTAGTAGGTGCTTATCAAAGATTTATCCTTTTGGAATTTATGTTTAGTGACGAACTGTTGGTAGGCAAAGAAGGAAACTCCTTTTCCAACAGTGTGGGACCATGTTATAAAACTAGCAAGTAATTGTGCCAGGGTTGATGTCTCCAGCCACAGCAAGTTTCAAAGTATAAGAAAAAAGGAGGTAGTGAGCCAGGCAGAATATTAAAACTATGTGAGCAGAGACCCTTCACCCTGCAACTGGGGAAATTCTCTTTACAGCTATACTTTTGTCCTCTTTTGTCTCTCCAGCCATATGTGGGTTTATATGAGAAAAAAAAAAAAAAGCTATAACAATAATATGGGGGGATGTGCTTCTATATAAATAGTGGGGTTTGTTTAACTTTAATATGCACTAGTGAGGAGTATTACTGAGAAATACTCATCACACTGGGCCTTTAGAACAGATATTAGGTGTAATTTATGAAACTGTACCTTATGCATCAAAACGTGTTTTTAAATGGCTTCAAAAATAATTAGAAATTATTGTTAAAACAACTGAGTGTGAGAGTAACTCTTAACATGGCTCAGTGAAAAAAAGCAGGTTGCTCAATATGTAGGCAGTTCCAAACTAACTCTTCACAGAATGAGTCTTCTGCATTAATGGCAGTATTAAATGGGTCCAGGTTGTGTCTTGAATCTTGGAACATTTCATGTATCTTTTTAAAAAATCTGGGGGCGCTTGGGTGGCTCAGTCAGTTGAGTGTCGTACTCTTGATTTTGGCTCAGATCAAGATCCCAGGGTCGTGGGATGGAGCTGAACGCGGAGCCTGCTTAAGATTCTCTCCCTCTCCTTCCTTCTCCCTCCCTCCCTCTCTCCCCTTGTCCCCCTCTCCTCCCCCCCCCCCCACCTTGCTCAGGGCTGCACTCTTTCTCTCTCAAATAAATAAAATAAATCTGTTTATTTTGGCTTTTATTCTCTTCACATGGCCATTTTAGTGGCCTACGTTTGTGACTGTTAAATGTGACCATATTAGTGGAATAGTGTGACTGTTTTACTTCCAAGTTACTTTTCTGAATGTTAAGGCCTTACTTGAAACTCTAAATTGTGATATGGAGTATAGTAATGTTTTTTAGAAGTAGCTGTTTGGTGGGGTGCCTGGGTGGCTCAGTGGGTTAAACGTCTGACTTTGGCTCAGGTTATGATCTCACAGTTTGTGGGTTCGAGCGCCGCGTCGGTCTCTGTGCTCAGAGCCTGGAGCCTGCTTCAGATTCTGTCTCCTTCTCTCTCTGACCCTCCCCACTTGTGCTCTCTCTCTCAAAAATAAATAAATGAAAAAACATTAAAAAAAAAGAAGTAGTCGTTTGAGAACCAATAATTATCTTTCAGGAACTACTCTATCTTAGCTGCTATAACTTAACTATTGAATGTCCCTGAGAGTTAGTAAAAGTTGACTTCTGTCTTTGGAATTTGGAAGGAATAAGAACATTAGTGGAAACAACTGTGAGCTTTGCTGGGCACTGTCCTAGGCCGACTATAGGAGAAGGTGCTTTTTCAGATCTCACATAGGGATGTCTGGCTTTTGCAAGTGCATGGAGGTTTCCAGAAACTGTCTCCTAGTCAACAGAAGCTGTTGATTGGCTCATCTCCCAAGCCATAAGTTGGTAATTGTAACAGTTCCATTGCTTTATCCTTTTTCCACTTCCCGATCAGTGTTTTCTAACTTTTTTTTTCCTTACTGAAACCCACCCTTAAAATACATTTTATGTTACTCCCAGTACACACAACAAAACGAAATAAATACCATGAACAAAACCATGAAATAATACTTTTACTACCTGTGATGCACCCAACATTCTTCATTTGCTGGTTGGACTCATTATTTTGGACCCATTAATAGATTGCAGTTCCTAGTGTGAGAACATGGCCCTAGATGAAGTTTTAAAATGTAATTTGAAATGTTTGTGGTATTTGTATATCATTTTACAATAGCCTTGGAGAACTGCAGGTGGTTAGTTTGTGGCTACTTGCTGCCAGAGCATTTGATAGCAATAAGAACTCTTCTTGGCATACATGACTGGCCTGTGATAAAATTCTTCTTTGAACTGGTTTTCGGCTAATTATAGTCAAAAGTCTTTGCCATACACAGTACTGTTACAGAGGGTTGTGGTAACATAAAATACTCTTTTTACCTTGCATTTTCTATCTAATGGTAAATCTTTTCCCATGAATTTTGTGGAACATTCAACAGCATTTTATATATTTCCAGTTTAAGGATAGACTAGAAGTTCCAATTTTAGAAAGGTTGTAGAAATAACTGGAACGTGAGGAAAAAAATCTAAACCAGATTCCAATTACTTCTAAAAAAGTCAAGCTTGATTACATAAAATATGTTGAATAAAACTGAATTAATTGCTTAACATAAACCCTTCCTTGGGTTTAGAATCTAAATTATATCCATATCCTGGGGAGAATATGAAGGTATACAGCACATTTCTTAAAAATTATTAGCAGTTATCGGGCAGAGACTATTAAATGACCACTTTCAGAGGGCTAGCTATGTTCTAGGAAGAATATGGTGGAGATTTGAATGATGTATCATAAATGGTTTAGAAGGTTCCTAGAAAGTAAAATCTCTGACCAAAAACATAAAAGTGATGTCAGGCTGAAAAGTGAGCAGCAGTTAAAGAAAATGGAAAGAAAAGACTGACTTTTGTGGTTAGACCATTTAAAGCTTATCAAGAAATTAAGGGAACAGTGAAACCTTTTTGTGTGTCTGATTTGAGGTGTTTTTGTAGTTGAGGTTTTTTCTTGTTTTTTTTCTTTTTCTTTTCTCAATGCTCTTACAGTTTAAAGAATGAAAGGTAAAAGGGGAGGTAAGTAAATATAGATGAGATTTGTATAGATTTAAGCAAATAGAACATGTTTTTATTTTAGAATAAGTATTAATCTTGTTCTTTCTGCAAGTCTTTATAGGTAAGGGGAGGTTGTTCTAAACCTAGGAATTGAAGTTGAGTTAATGATCTCTAATTTCTAAGGTTACCTTTCCCTCTTGTTTTCTTTTTCTCCTCCCCCTCCCCCACCCCCACTGGTTTTTGGGGAGAAGTGAGCAATAGATGTGCACTACTTATTCCCATTTTCTAAAGCATAGGATCAGATCCTGCAAATACAAGTTACCAGTCCATCTGTTGAGATGCATATCATCAGT